TCACATAAGAATTTACAGAATAATTATTGAATAGCACCAAAGGTTTTCTTCTAAAGAGCTGATACCAACCCTTTCCATTCAGTTGACTCCACATACTCTTCTCATCATTCCGCTGAAGCCCACACTCTCAACACTAACAACCATGATAAACACTCCAACCATTTACCTTACTATAAACCTTTACTTTTAAATGAAGACCTTTCTAAGGTACTTAACAATCAAAAGTAATAAACTTTACGACTCAAACAAGGTCTAAGTCCTTTCAATTACTCAATACCTGATACAATTGATCATTTCTCACCTTGCCAATTCATACCTTGATAAATAAATCACCACGAATGTAGACTTACAATGATAAATCTGAATTGTAAATTTAACCGCATAACACAATCCCATTATCTATCAACATTAGCTTGTACCTTGAAGTTTTTTATGAATTCATGGATCTTCGCTTATCATTGGTCGCATCTCCATCGATCATAAAATATCTTTTGCTAAAAATTAAATCGTACTCATTACTAAACTCAAAAATAAACAAAGCACTTATAATCACACTCGAGCTAATGTCTGTACACTCCTTTCTCATGTCTTTTTCAATAGTTTTTAACCAATCTGATGGACCCGTGACACTATTACCATAGCCACAACAAAACCAATGAAATCACGCATCTGTGAACCCAATTATCTACCCGTCTAAAGATACCTCTTTAGCCTTTACAATCAAATAAAGTATTCTTGCTCTCGCCTCTCTCTAAAGGTTGCATTACATCCTACTATTTTTCTTCATTATTACTCTAGCTCTTTAAATTCTATTCGAGTGGTGTCCCACCATCTCTTAAAACCTTCCATACAACCACGTTACTAACCAAATATTAGGAAACCACAACCTTAGATACTCGCGAGTCGTAATTACTATACAAGATTCGCTTAACCACAATCTTATTATATAGTTGCGTCCCATCAGGATCCATCACGAACTCTTATTACCATTATGCTCAGTCAGCCCTGAGTATCAATACAAAGTCAACCTTCTCATCAACAAGACATCTCAAACTCAGATATACTCTTCAAATTCAAAGGACTAACCCAATTTTATACGCAGTTTCTTACTAAATTTTCAATTTCCTTCACCCAAGTATACTTAATGAGACTTTCTTTATCCATAAGCTTGTCATACCGGCATCAATCCACTCCTTTATGACTTAAGATAAAATAACCAGTCCTCATACTACCATCCTTCTTCTTAACAAACAAGATAGGAGCACCCCACGGGGAAGCACAAGGACCAATGAAATCTTTATCAAGAAGGTCTTGGATTTGCGCTTTAAGCTCTCTCAGTTCTTCCAGAGCCATGCGATAAGGATAAATGGAGATGGGGGCGAGTGTCAGGTTCTAAGTCAATGTAGAAATTTATATCTCTATCTGGAGGCATACCAGACAAATCGGTAGGAAACACTTCCTTGAATTCAGACACTACAGGAATAGACTCAATAGAGGGAGGCTCAACATCAACCTCTCGAATTTGAGCCAGGAATGTTGAACACCCCTACCCTACCAGTTTCCTAGCCTGCACGAAAGATATGACCTTAGCTGGCTTAGACTTGTACACCATTTCCCACTCTAACTTTTCCCTACCCGAATCTCTAGAGTCACAGACTTAGCATTACAATTAAGCACAACATAATAAGGGGATAACCAAATCATGCCTAAGATTATATCAAAGTCAGTGATATCCAAAATAACCAAATCAGCTCAAGTCTGAAAACACATAAACAGAACAGGACAAGCACGTTATACTTGGTGACTATGGTTGACTCTCCAACTGGGTAGAAACATGGATCGGGGCATCAAGAATATCACAAACCGCATCAAATCCCAAGGCACACTTAATTGACACATATGAATATGTGGAACCCGGATCAAACAATACGATAGACATTCGGTCATAGACAAGAATAGCACTTGTGACCACTGCATCAGACACCTCAGCCTTGTTCTTGCCAGGAAAGGAATAAAACTGAGCCATGTCATCTTGACGGGTAACCTCCTTGCCTGACGACATTGCTCCCCTACCTGCATTACCATTTCTCCGGCCTCCACTGCCTCGCTTATTTCCACCTCATATGCACATGTTCTCCATAATTTTAATACACTTAATAACTTAGCCAAGTAAGCATCGCTGCTATTGTAATAGTTATTTCATGAATCTCTTTGATATACACTCAATCTAGGAAATCACAATAGATATTCTAACTTCAATTGTTGCAACATAATTTAATCATTTACTAAGCAACCCATACATGGTATGATAACAATACTAACTGCATTTTCCAAAGTAATGGTGTTCACTATCTAGCCTTCCCTTACAAAACTTCTTGAATGTTGTTACCTTGGCAAAGTCTTCTGACTTTACCCCCTTCTACCTCCGCCACAAAATCAACCACTTCCTGAAAAGATTTTGCTAAAGAAGTTACCTATAAGCTTGAATCTACAAATCTGACCTTAATCCCTTCACTAATAACAAATTTGCTCTTTTAGATTGAAGCAAAGTGGAGTACCATATTTGGATAAAACACAAACTTTTGCCTTAAAGGCTACAATAATTATATTATGTTGCTCTATATTAAGGAACTCATTTCTCCTCCTATCCCTCAAAGTTCAAGGTATATACTTCTCTATACAGAAAGCTATAAAATGTTTACCAAGTCATGATTAGTGCATTTACTAGTCAGCACTCAACATGAGACCAACACCACATTTTGGTGTCTCCTTTGAACCGGTATATCATAAACTCAATGTCAAATCACTCTACCTTATCCATCTTATGAAGCAGGTCATGATAATCAACAAGAAAAGCATAAGAATCTTCAGATTCAGTACCCATGAAGAATGAAGGTTCAACAATAAGAATCTAATAAAACCCTCATGTTTGTCACTAGTCATTACATGCCCACATTGAATTGGGGAAACATGCTTATTTGGAAGGACACATCCTCTCTTGCTAGTGTTGGTATTACCAGTTTTGTTGCTGTAGTTCTGACCATAGAGTAAAGGAGGAAAGATACCAATGTGTATCACCCAGATACCAATTGGATTCAAGTAATACCACGAAGAAAGAAAGGCTTGAGTTTTCCTAAAGTCTTATAGCCTCTCGAAGAAAAGTACAGACGTTTCCGTACCATTCTACAAGACTCTACTAGACTCATTTTGGTACAATGAGATCAACGAACCTAGGGCTCTAATACAAACTTTTTCACGACCCAGACCGTCGTGATTGGCGCCTACACTAACCCCCCAGTAGGAGAACTATTACTACAACCTAACTAAGCAACTCAACGATAAACTAAACATTTAAGATACAAAAGCAAGTTTAAATGTCTAAGAAAAATGGAGTTCCCATAAACTCCGAAAGTTAAACAAAACAACTACCAAACATTTGCGAAAAATAACTCCTAGAACCTGAAAGTCAATGTACCAAAACTCTAATGATCAACCAAGTCTAAGGAAGAGTGGTGCGACCCCAAAAACTAAAAATAACAGCCTAATTGATGTCTGGGTCCGAAAAGAATGGACTAAACAAAAGAGAACCCATGGCAGCTTGGAAGAATTGGCTCACCCTTGAATTTGGTCTCGATTAGTGATCTCATAAATGAGGTCTGTCAGTAGCCGCCTGAAGATGCCCTGTACTCAACAAAGAAAGAGCAAGTGAAGTATCAGTACACAACCACAATGTATTGGTAGGATTGCACGTCTATTCCCATAAGCAAAATATACAACGAACAATCACAACAAAGTACGCACACATATATAGAATACAGTTCAGTTATCATTTTAGAGAAACATACAATATTCTATTATCAATGACAAATAGATATAAACAAAACAATCACAAGTAGTTCCCTCATGGAACCCATACCCAAACTGTTAGCACTACAAGAAACAGGATTTTTTGTGGCAATATTTAGCGGCGAACCTATTTGTTGCTACAAAAGTTATATATCCAGTGGCGACATATGAAGGCGTCGTAGTAGATAAACATTTAGTGGAGAGTTATGTTAACTTGCCGCTAATAGTCGTTGCTAATTCTCAATTATTTGTTCCCGCTAATACCAAAATTTTGGCTCCATATTCTTCAGTGGAAACATCTAATTTGTCGCATCTAAATGAATTTTGTGGCGACATGACCGCTCGTAATAAGTCAATTTATTAATTTAACATAAAAAGTTAAAAGAAAACAAATGAAAATATCTGATAAAAAATTACACACACATCTTTTCTCTCCAAACACTCCTCTTCTCAAATTTCCGTTTCATTTCTCTCCATTAGCTCAACTTTTCTTAGGGATTCTTCAAATTGTCACTCTCAAATCTGTTAAATCACTTCTCATTTCACAAAATGTGAACTCTATTTAGGTAAGTGCTCAAATTTCTTTCTGATGGTATTTTTTCCACTAATCTTACTTCTATTTCTTTAACCCATTCATAAATTTGTAGCATATTGAAGTGTTTTGAAGTTTTAAGGCGAAAGGTTCTCAAAAATCTACAGAAATCAGAAGTTGCTGGAAGGTTTTAAGAAGAAAGGTTTGAAGTTTGATAATCACTGCAAGATTTTGATGTTTTCGAAGTTTTGAAGTTGTTCAAAGGCTTGTAAGGTGCCACTCATGTTAACTCTCTATTTATTTTTCATATTTTGTCGATTGTGAATCTCACTATTGTTTTTGAGCTATCTCTTTCTCTGGGTTTATTGAAGATTTTAAAAAAAAAATCTAGATCTGTAGATGTTGTTAAGTAACTGCATGTTCACATTGATGTCAAAAAATGTACAAAAATTGTTGTTTTAAAAGAAAATTGTAGTTCTAAGTGTGTTGTTATTATTTCAATAGAACTCGATTTCTGTATATATATATATATGTTAATTTGTTTGAAACCTTCTAAAAAGTTTCAAGAGTTTGTAATCTTTTCCCAGACATAAAAGCTTGTTGGTGATTTGGTTTACTGAAGCTCTTGAAGTGTTATTATTTCAGCTGAACTATAATATTTTCCTTAATTGGAGTTCTTGTTGGTTAATAAATGGCTCTACCATAGAGAAAACCATCGTACATCCTCGTGTTTGGACAACTCAGTATGCTGAGCTCTTGATCTTACTAGATTAGATTAACTAAAGTGAAATATAGATACAAATGACATAAGAGTATGAGTCCATGGCCGGCTAAATCTACTTGTATGTAACTTTAGTAAATGGCTTTGAAATGAAGTTCTAATGGTTTTGTTAGTTCTGGAATGTTGAATTTTGTCTAAAATTACCTTTGTTTGGGTATCAAGGCTTTCAAATTCATTTCAAGATATCTTCTTACTTATAGTTAAAATGGAGCCTTGGGTGTGAGACCTACTTTTGTCGAGACGACCTCCCCTGAAAGTTTTGTAAGTTACATTAAGTCCTGAATTTTGTTTCTAATTGGGTAACATATTTGTTTTACGTTGGTGGGACCCCGAATTATTTCCGAAGGTCCGATTAAAACTTCAGTTTTGAATCACAATGAGCTGGTGCAACACCTGCTGGTCCAGCTGCTCTTGCGGAACCAAGGCTCGATCCTACAAAGAAGTGGTTGCACATGCGAAGGTGACCAGGTCACCAAGCCTCGACCCTGTGAAGCCGTGGTCGCAACTACAACCTTGCCTATGGATCCAAAGTCTGTAATACTAGATTGTATATGTGTAAAACAAATTGTTAGGGCCAAGGGGCTTCTCTGTTTCAGAATTGAGGGGAATTTATCTTCTCTTACAAGAGAGTATTAGGAATTTATTTGTTATTAATCTGAGTGTTCATTTGTTGTACATTTGTTGTATGGCTTCTAAAATTCATTGTAAATCTATATTACAGCTTACTTAAAATATCATGCAGGCGTTTGGACAATATTTGGTTGAAATTGAAGAGTAGTTTGCGGTGAACATGCTGATTATGATATAGCTGCAGTAAAAAAGAAGCATTATGAGTGTGTCTAATTTTCCTGAAATTCGTCAAACAAAATGTTGATGTTGACGCTATTCAAATTCAAAACTCTAAAATCATGGGTGAATTCAGAACCTATTCCTAGACTAGCATGTGATGATGGAACAAGAACTTGTTCCTTGCAACAAATGGAAATACTTTTTGGCATATGATATTTGTTTGCATTCACCGAACACATAGATTCATGACACATAATTGTACTCTTTGCTAAATTAAACCTATCCTTTTGCAATCTTAAGTTACCAGATAAACAGATCCATAAGATTGAACATCAGGAGTACTATTCGTAACTTTTTTATCCTCACATTGGTGACCATGAATTCTTAGTAGTGTTATTTATTGCTCCAAGTGAAAAAACATCCATGTGCCTTCAGAAGAGTGAGTTGTAACTGGTTTAGCATTTTCTTGAACCCCTGCACCTCAACAACTGTTACAGGTTGACCAATCCTTTCATTGACATACATGACATTTTAAAAGTCTCTACTAAGAATTCATGGTACTTGTATAGAAGCACCTATAGTCTGTAAAGTTTGTCACGAGCTCTCTTTGACTTTGCTCATTCTTTGCATACACACTAGTGACAATAGCTGAGAAGTTATTACCTCGCCTACAGAGTTAGTCAACACATTTATCCTCGCATTGGTGACCCATTTTCTACTTTGCCATAGAGACAATAACAACAATCAAGTCACTAGTGTGTTCTTCTTTATTTCATTTTTTTATTGTGGAAGTTGGAGAGAGATTTCCTTGGCGATTTCTTGTGGAATTCTATACATTTAGTGGAGAGTAGCTTGGGGACATCATAAATGATGTTTTTCACTCTCCTAAATCCACTACACCTCGTTTAGATTCAAATTCTTGATATTTATGTTGTATTGTTACTTTTAACTACTTACTTTCTTTTAATATCCTCACAACTTATGTTCCTTTTTTGTTTTGCTGGATTTTTTCAGGTCATTTTCCAATCAATCTTGGCCGGATTGTGGTCTACATCTTTCTAGCAAACTTTGATATTTGTGTGTTCTTTGATTTTCAACATTACGTACGCCATAGCAAGATCACTACTCATTTAATTTTCAATTCTAGTCATAGCCTCATTATTGACATTTTTTACTTTATTTATCCAGATTTCTCTGCCACGCATGATCTCACAATTTTCTTTTCTAGTTGTTTGTTTCTTTTACGCTAAATTATGACATATCACCATTATTGGAAATATAATTCTTGTACACAATTCATGATTTTTTATAGATATAGTTCACTGAAAATAAGCTTTTTTTTAAACATAAATTGGTTCTTTGAATTGTTGTTTATTCTTTTGGATCTTCTTTTTTGGGCAGTAAGAGTCTAACAGATTCCCAGATGGGTCCTCAACTGAATTAATTAATTAATTGTTTTTTTCTTAAAAGTAGGAATGGATAAAAGTTGGTTAAATATTAGGAATAGAGTTGATCAAAGGTATAGAGATGGAGTGGAAGGTTTTCTTAATTGGGCATTTAGTCAACCCGGGGTGAACACTATGATTCGATGTCCTTGTAAAGGGTGTATGAATACAGTGTTCAAGCTAAAAATGATGTAAGAGGAGACTTATTAAAAAAGGGCTTCTGGGATTCTTATAAAGTGTGGGACTTGCATGGAGAAGTGTTAGCTAGAGTTGAAAATTCTAATGTCACACATAGAGATGAAGTAGAGGATGATAGAAATGAAGATGATGACAATACTGGAATGATTCACGATGCTTGTGGATATTCAAATGTGGAGAATAATACGAATTCTTCAGAGGGTAATGAAGAGCCAAATATCCATGCAACAAAGTTCTACAAACTGTTAAAAGATGCTCAGAGAGAACTTTATCCTGGTTGCACAAAAGTCTCAAAGTTGTCTTTTATTGTTAAATTACTTCACTTGAAGTGTCTTAATCATTGGAGCAACAAATCGATGGATGAGTTGTTAATCCTCTTTAAAGAAGTTCTTCCCGATGGGTCATTTGTGCCTACCTCTTTGTATGAAGTAAATAAAGTTCTTCGTGAACTAAGCTTGGGGTATACCAAAATAGATGCATGTAAGAATGATTGTATTTTATATTGGCGCGATTATGCCAATGCCCAATCATGTCCCAAGTGTGGTAAGTCTAGATGGAAGTCACAGAAACACAAAGGCAAGAAAGTAGCTCATAAGGTATTGCGACATTTTCCTATCAAACCAAGGCTTCAATGACTATACATGGCAAAAGAGACATCAAAGAAAATGAGGTGGCACAAGGAAGAAAATATTGATGATGGTGTCATGCGACATTCGTCTAACTCAATAGAATGAAAATCTTTCAATGAGCGTCATCCTACTTTTTCAGATGAATTAAGAAATGTCCGACTAGGTTTAGCAAGCGACAGATTCCAACCTTATGGAGATATGAGTACCAATCATAGCATTTGGCCTGTCATTCTAGTTACATATAATTTGCCACCATGGGATTGCATGAAGAGTTCATATTTCATGATGACAC